GGGCCGGCCCTCCCTTCCAGTTTTTTTTTTTTTTTTCCTTTTTTTTTTTTTTTTTCTGACCGGTAAGGGGATCACAACCATCATCAGCATGGTGTGGTCCGCACCACGCTCAGCCAGTGAGCGGGAACCGGTCTCCACATGGGATCCGAACCCTCGGCGGGAGTGCTGCCGCGCTCCCAAGTGGCGCACTGTAGCAGTGTGCCACCGGGCCGGCCCCCCTCCCTTCCAGTTTTTGATGCTACTTGATTTTCGTTCATGATCAAAAATGATGGGCCAGCCCCATGGCTCACTCGGGAGAGTGCGGTGCTGGTAGCACCAAGGCCACGGGTTCGGATCCTGTATATGGATGGCCGGTGCGCTCACTGGCTGAGTGTGGTGCGGACCACACCATGCTGATGACGGTTGTGATCCCCTTACCGGTCAGAAAAAAAAAAAAAATGATTACAGCAATACAAAGGGAAATGGCAAAAGACACAGAATCACGCATAATCAGATAACCCTGACTAAGAATCAGATAAACCTGTTCATTTCTCCACATCCCTGTCCAGCCTTTGTCCGTTGGTATGTATATATTTTGACTTCATTGGATCAAATTATACGTACTATTTTGCATTCTTTATTATTATTTTTTTTACTTCAATCTAAAGCGCTGTCTTAGAAAACATTCTTGGCCTTGCCAAAGTAGTGTGTGAGATAAATTAGGGTCTAGCTAAGTGACCAAAAAGAGTAGAATGCTGAAGTAAAATACTGAAAAAGAATATTGGGGGAAAATTCGGAATACTCACATGAGAAGTTGAAAGCTGAAACAGGATACCTTTTGTTTCAGCAACTAAACATGGGATGATTCTCAGCGAAATCCCATTCCTCTTTTCCAAGAGCATGGAACTCATCGGGTGTAGCTCGATGGCCCTTTCTCAGTTCTAGACCCCAGAGCATTCTTTCAAGAATGTGCTGTAAGCCTCTTCTTTTCAACTAATACATTACACCAAATCAAGGTCTATACTGATGTGGCAGAGTGCTAAAAAGTGCTTCACACTTTAGCAGGCAATCACTAAAATCCAATAAGGTGGCTGGTCCGATAGAACACTTTTCCACAGTCAATTATTTTATAGGTTTTCTGACTAGCGTGGGTTTTCTGATGAGTGATTAGGGAGGAACTCTGGCTGAAGGCTTTCCCACACTCATTGCAGCTGTATGGTTTCTCTCCAGTGTGAGTTCTCTCATGCCTCACAAGGGAAGACCTCTGGCTGAAGGCTCTTCCACACTGGTCGCATTCGTAGGGGCTGTCGCCGGTGTGAGTTCGCTCGTGCTGGTTGAGAGAGGACCGATCGATGAAGGCTTTCCCACATTCGTTACATTCATAGGGCTTCTCGCCAGTGTGCGTTCTCTTGTGCAAAATCAGGTAGGAGCTCTGGCAGAAGGATTTCCCACAGTCTGTGCATTTATAGGGCCTTTCCCCCGTGTGGATCCTCTGATGCTGAGTCAGAGACGAGATCCTGTTGAAGGCTTTCCCACACTTGCCGCATGTGTAGGGCTTCTCCCCGGTGTGAGTCCTCAGGTGGCGAGTGAGGGTGGAGCTGTGCGTGAAGGCTCTCCCACATTCTTGACACTCGTAGGGCTTCTCTCCCGTGTGAATCCTCTGATGTTCACTCAGGGAGTGCCTCCGGTTAAACACCTTCCCACACTGGTGACATTCGTAGGGCTTCTCCACCACATGAATTTTGTTGTGTATAGTAAGAGCCACACTACGATTCAGTGATTTTCCATTTTTCACGTAAGCCAGAGTATTCCCCTCTGTTTGAGTTCTTTCTTGTTGTGTAAAATGACCATTTTGGCTGAGGGCTTTTCCACACTTGCCACTCCCACTGGGTCTCTGATCTGCATGTCCCATCTGATGGAAGTTTACAAGCGAGTCAGACATCATACTCTTAATATCTAGGTCACAGTCACGGAAGTGTCTTCCTATGGAGCTTCTCTGTGATAAAACAAGGTCTGAGCTCAGATGACCATTTTCCCCAAGTTCATGCCAAGCAGTAGCTTTCTCCTGAGGAGCTGCCTCTACCTGGATGCACGCCACTGGCCTCGGAAGCCCCTGGGGGTCTTTGTGGTCCTCCTCGAGCTGGCCACATTCCCAGTCTTTTCTGGTAAGCCTTATGACATTCGTACCACCAGACAGCTCTTCCCCAAAAACCACCTTCCTGTAAGTCAGCTCTTGGCTTTTCCACCTGGTCTCCCAATCTGGAATAAATTGAGGACGGGAAAGAATGTTTGGAGAAAGAAACTGCTAACTTAAGAGATGGTGGGATAAAATTGCTTCCGACGCACACAAGGCCCATGTGGATTGAGGTTCAAATATCAGCTTTTGGCGTGGAGGAGGGACGGGAAGACAGAGACGGGTCAGTAAACTAGGAGGCTGCGGGCGGGATGCAGGAGAGGAGGCTGAAGGGGGTGGAAAAGAGGGAAACGTAAATACAGATGCAATCACCCTGCAAAGACTGGAGCACAGAACGGCAGAGAGAAGGGATCGTCGGAAAAGCAAAGGGGGAAGAGGACTAGAAACAGAGAACCGGAACAGGTTCAGGAACGAAGGCCCTGCAAAGACTGGAGCACAGAACGGCAGAGAGAAGGGATCATCGGAAAAGCAAAGGGGGAAGAGGACTAGAAACAGAGAACCGGAACAGGTTCAGGAACGAAGTGGGATGGTCTTTGCTGTACACCCAGAGGGGTGGTAAAGGTAGCAAACAGGAGAAGGTCGCTGTGGGTGAGTGGAGGAAGACATCTCGGCATCTCCTTACACAATTAGGGCCTTGTGGAGGGGTCTCTGACCGACAGTTCCCAAGGTGCCACCCCGACTTCGACGGCTCGTACCTGCCTGCTTCTCACCTGAGCAGGAGCTTGGGGGAATTCTTCCTTCCTCCCTCCACATGGCTTCTCCTTGCTCCAAGGGGAAGGGTACCACTGGTCGAGAGAGTGAACGCCCTGTCCATGGGCAAAGGCTGGTGACCTGGGGGGCGTGTGCTGGGGAAAACGGGCCATCCTCAATCCCTGTATCAGGACTTTGGTTCTTCAAGGCTTTTCAAAGACACAGGAGCACATTTGAGAGGTAGCACGTTGACCAAGCTAGAGATTTTACTTTCCCAATAACAAAATTATGGATCTCACATTTCCCCCTGAAGAAGATATACAAGTACTCAATTAGTGCGTGACAAGATGCCCAACATCAGTTGTCATTAGGGAGATGCACAGCAAAACCACAATGAGATGTCATTTTACACCTATTAGGGAAGCTGTCATAATAATTAAACAAAACAAAACAAAAAACAGAAAACATGGGCCGGCCCGGTGGCGCACTCGGTAGAGTGCAGCGCTTGGGAGCGTGGCGGTGCTCCCGCCGAGGGTTCGGATCCCATATAGAGACTGGTCTGCTCACTGGTTGAGCGCGGTGCGGGAACGACACCGAGGGTTGCGATCCCGTTGCCGGTCGTGGTACGGGCGCGACACTGAGGGTTGCGATCCCGTTACTCGTCACGAAAAAAGACAAAAAAGGAAAAAAAACCGAACGACACCGAGGGTTGCGATCCCGTTGCCGGTCGTGGTACGGGCGCGACACTGAGGGTTCCGATCCCGTTACTGGTCATGAAAAAAGACAAAAAAGGAAAAAAAACCCCCCAAAAAACCAGAAAACAGAAAATAAGCATTGGTGAGCATGTGCAAAGTCAGAACTGACACATACAGCTGGTGGGAATATAAAACGGTGCTGCTGCTGTGGGAAACTGTCTGGCAGCTCCTCAAAAAGCTAAACGTAGAGGTACATGTGAATCAACGAATTAATGGTGCTGGCTCACCCAGGGAGATCAGGTTCCTGTAGTTCTCCAGCATCACCTCTCTGTACAGGTTCCTCTGGGCAGGGTCCAGCAACCCCCACTCCTCCGGGGAGAAGTCCACAGCCACATCCTCAAAGGTCACATATTCCTAAAACATCACATTGGTTCTGTTCACGATGGGACCCTCCCCTCCCACGTTCACAGGAGGTGGCTCCAGGAAGTTCAGAATGATCAGGGTGCAAAACCCAGAAGTTAGATTCTTTTTCTTTTTTTTTTTAAACATTATTTCTTATTTATTTGAAATAATTTCTTGAAACAGTAAGATATGATTTAACAAGCAAAAGAAGTTAGAGTTGGGCTGGCCACGTTAGTGCAGTTGGTTAGAGCGTAGCCGTGTAACACCAAGGTCACAAGTCTGGATCCCTGTACCAGCCAGCTGCCAAAAATAAAGAAGAAGTTAGAGTTGTCAAATAAAGCTACCTTTTACAGCTTGTAGAGAACCATAAAACTAAACTTGATTGTTAATTGCGCAATATATATCTGCCTTTGTTTAACATCATTTAAAAATTCCATTTATTTTTATTGTGGTAAAATATATATAAGAACTGTCATTTTAAGCATTTTTAAACACACCATTGCATGGAATTAATTACACAGAAGTCAGACACTACCAGGTGCCTTGTGGGTACAGCAAGGAGGCCCCACACACAGGTCTGATGGAAATATTCTGCCACTCTCTTATTAAACAGGTGCCACTTGGCAATCTCCCCCGCTCATTCTGAAAATCAACGGATTTGCGGCCACGCAGCTCCCCAGCGGTGGGACTGCAGGTGTACTGCTCACCTGTCCAGGACACCACATCTTCATCTTTCCACAGAAAGAACAATTTCAACCTGACAGTGTTGCAGTGAGGACTATGATTCCATATTAGGCGTAGCATCTGCTGATGCCACAGTCGGAGAACCTGGAAGCAATCCCTAGCAATCTGTATGACCAATGAGTCCCTTATCCCAAACTTTTTCTCCTTTATCTCTAGATTAGTAGAGACTAGTTCTCTTTGCCTCCGTGTGTCAGAGATAGTGTAAGAAGTGAGATCTGTGACAACTACTGTCACTCACTGGAATGTGGCACAAGCATGTGCTGTGGGCTGACTGAACTGTGTCCCTCAAAGTCCACATATTAGAAGCTTAATTTCCACTCTGACTGTTAAGAGAGTGAGAAATCCTATTAAGGTAATTAAAAGGTGGGACCTTGAAGAGGTGATTAGATTCTGAGGATCATGCCTAGTGAATGGGTTAAAAATGGTGGTCATGGGCATGGTTCTCAGGGCTTTAGAAGGGAGAGTGCACCAGGAGCTCTCTGTGCTCTGCCATTTCGCAGTGTGATACCTGCCGTCACTGTTGCTACCACCAAGGCCTGCACCAAATGTGCTCCCTGGACTTCGGACTTTCCAGCCTCTAAAACTGTGAGCAATAAATTTCGTTTTCTTATAAATTACTCAGTTCCAGGTATTTTGTTATTCCGAAACAGAAACAGACTAATACAGCATGTTTGGGAATAGGAAGGATGAATGACAGGGAGGGGACGATGAATGTTTGGTGCCTGGGTGGATACAGAGGCATCCACGGTACCGAAAAGCACCCGAGCTGGTGTCTGTCATAACAAGGCAGTCACCTACAGGATGTGGAAAACGACAGCTCCCACTGCAGGCAGTTAGGCGTGCTGGACCCGCGAGCTGCTCTGGCTATTCTGGCTGAAGCTGAGAGGTGGTGCGGGTAGATGCAGCCCTGGTGATGCCTTTGGTTGACGTCCTCTCCTCCGAGTGAGAGAAGACAGGGCCTACACATTCGCAAAGGCAAGCTTTGGGTGGACCAAAAACATCAAAACTTTGTGCTGCCCTTGCCTCTGAGCTGGAGGGAAAAGGGTTAAGTCCATTCTAGGGGCTGTGGTCTGAATGTCTGCATCACCCCCAAATGCAAAAGTTGAAACCTGATCCCCAGTGAGATGGTATGAAAAGGTAGGGTCTTTGAGAAGTGATGGGACCTTCACAAATGGGACTAGTGCCCTTAAAAAGGCGGCCCCAGAGAGCTGCCCCGTCCTTGCCTCACCGCGCGAGGACGCAGCTGGAAGTCACCATCCATGAGCAACAAGTCCTCAGCGGACGCGGAACCTGCCAGCACCTTGATCCTGCACTTCCAGTCCCCAGAACTAGGAGAAGTAAACTGTTGTTTACAAGCCACCCAGTCTGTGGCATTTTGTTGTAGCAGCTAGAAAAGATCAAGACATCGGTGCTACAGCAAAATGTCAGTGAAGCAGACAAAGGGGGAGCAAACACTCCAGGCTTTTGTTCAGGCCAGTGGCTGCTGCAGAAACCTGCCCCTCTGCCCCTAACGGTCCGGCTGGTCCCCACCCCACCTCTGAAGTTGGAATGTTAATCCTGTAACAGCTACACTTACGGCCATGGCTCGAGCAAATCTACAATCAAACAAAAAGGGAAAAAATCAATGGCTTTGCATTTTGTGGCTATTACACATGGATATATAATAAAAATTAGGATAGGGGCTGGCAGGTTAGCTCATATGGTTAGATAGAGTGTGGTGTTGGTAACACCGTGGTCAAGGGTTCAGATCCACAAAAACGGTGGGGGTTGGTACTGAAAATTAGGATAAAATATTATAATTTTTATATGTAGTAAATATATCTATATTATTATAATTTCATAACAGAAGGGTCATCCCAATCAGAAAAAGCAGGGCAGCAGGGTGGGGAGGGGGTTTAGTAGGACACAGCTTCTTGCTGTTTGCTGCCTGCTGGGTGGGTTAAAACGGAAACTATTTCAATATTAAAAACAAAATGTGGGCCGGCCTGTGGCTCACTCGGGAGAGTGTGGTGCTGATAACACCAAGTCAAGGGTTAAGATCCCCTTACTGGTCATCTTTTTAAAAAAAATAAAAAAATAAAAATAAAAAATAAAAACAAAATGAGTCTCTGTAACTCATGATTTTTACTATGATTTATACCTATTGGGGCCTCAGAGAACAGAGCCAAGTCAAGGGTTAAGATCCCCTTACTGGTCATCTTTTTAAAAAAAATAAAAAATAAAAAAAATAAAAAATAAAAACAAAATGAGTCTCTGTAACTCATGATTTTTACTATGATTTATACCTATTGGGGCCTCAGAGAACAGAGAGACAACATGAACAGAGAACTGTCTGGATGGAGATATGCTTTTGGAAGTTTTAAAAAGTAGA